CCATCTCAAAAAAAAAAAGAGAGGCAGAAAGGGGCAGGCGGTAGGAGAGTAGGGTAGGGGGATAAGTGAGCAAGCGAAGATGAAGGTCTGCCCTAGGTAGCTCAGGTCCACAGGGGGATTGGTTTGTTCTACCTGGGAAAGGAAGCATCATGGCAAGTTCATAAGGGAAGTGGTACTTAAACTGAATAGGCATCTCTGGCCAAGGCAGGCTAAGGCAACAGAGCTAAGGCCAGCCCTTTCACTTTTGTACTAGATCCTTTCCCCCTCTGCCTTCTCAAAGACATTCTCCCCCAACCTGGCCAACATGGTGAAACCTCATCTCTACTAAAAATACAAAAATTAGCACAGTGTGGTGGCATGCGCTGGTAATCCCAGCTCCTTGGGAGGCTGAGGCAGGAGAATCACCTGAACCTGGGAGGCAGAGATTGCAGTAAGCCAAGATTGAGACAGGGCACTCCAGCCTGGATGACAGAGTGAGACCCCATCTGGAGGCAGAGGGAGGAGAAAGACATACTCCCTACAATTGCCCTATCTGTATTGGGAGCTTTTCTCTCTCTCTCTCTCTCTCTCTCTTTTTTTTTTTTTTTTGATAGAGAGTCTTGCTCTGTTGCCCAGGCTGGAGTGCAATGGCCCAATCTCAGCTCACGATGCCTGGGTAATTTTTTTGTATTTTTAGTAGTGACAGGGTTTCACAAAATTTGTCAGGCTGGTCTCAAACTCCCAACCTTGTGATCTGCCCACCTCGGCCTCCCAAAGTGCTGGGATTGCAGGCATGAGCCACCGCTCCCAGCCCACTTTTTTTTTTATTCTAATCAGCTTATAAACTTGTGAAAATATTTCCTAACCTCAAAAAATACTTTACCCTGCTTCCCGCTCCAGCTATTGCCCCATTTCTTTGTTCCTTTATAGCAAAACTCCTAAAACTAGTCTGTATTTCATGACTTCAGTTTCTCTCCTCCCGTTTTCTCTTAAACCCATTGAAATGAGTTTCACCTCCACATTCCAGTGGAATGCCTGTTGTCGAGGTCAGAGGTGACTTCCCTGTTGCTGAATCCATCGGTTAGTCCTGCGGCCACACGTTACTGGGCCTACACAGTGTGTGACGCAGTTGGTCTCTGTGTCCTTTCAGAGCCCCTTCCTTCACCGAAGCATCACACTCTCCTGCTCCTTTCAGCCTCCTGCAGTGCTGCTTCTCATCTCCCAAATGCTAATGCTTCTCATACACGTCAGCCAGGGCACCCTCCCACTGGATATCATGTGGTGACTTTCCCTGTGATCGAATCTGAACCCAGGCCAGGCACTCCTGGCAGCCACATGTCTCACGCAGCATGTGTGGCGCCCCAGAGGACAGCCATCCCTTCCAGATGTGCTTCCTCACCACATCCTCATGGGATTCTTGGAATTAGGTAGTTTCCACTGCACATGGGGAAGCTGAAAATCACATTTTCCGTCACTTGCTTGTCAGTGTCCTCTGTGAAAGTTTCTGATTCCAGATCTGATGCTTTTTCTATGTATGACCCATTGCTTGGCCTGATTCCTTAATCTCGTCCTCCTGAGTGAAGCAGGAGAGTGGAAGCGTTTGGCTCCTTCTTTGGGGCTCCAGCCTGTCCATCTGGATTTCCTCTTGTGAGTACAGTGGAGACACTCTTCACCCCAGGGGCTTGGTAGTCACGTTTGCAGGACAATGGGTGCTCTTACTGGGTTTAATGCGAAATCTCCCAAAATGAAAGGCAGCTGCAGAGTAGGAGAAGAACAAGGGCTGAATGATTTGATCAGACATCTGTGGGGGCCTGCTGGCATTTGGAGTCTGAGTGCCTTAGAGAGACTAACTATTCTGGCCCCAGGGAGTTGGCGACCGTTAATCTTGGTGGTTTTGACCGCTAACTGCCCCAGAGGTCCCAGCCTGCTGGATGACTCAGAATCCCCAACACTCCCCCTATTCTTCTCTCACTGGGATAGTCAGGAGGCCATTTCTAAGGCATTTTAATTTGGTAATGACATGACCCACTGTACCCAGAGTTGTACACTGTAGGAGTTACTGTCGCTTTCTAAGTGAGGAGTTGACTTAGAGCCCATCATCCTTGATATTGGACTGCCTGGTACTGTTGTGGAAAGAGCAGTATCTCCTGCCTTCCCTACTGGGCCCCAGCTCCCTCATCTACATTGTAGATGACATGATCCTGTGCCCCCTGGACTGTCCCACAGCCCTTATTCTTTAAGCACCTTGCCAAAAGTTGATGGAGTAAACTAGAGAGAAGAAAGGTAGCCAAAGGTTTGTCTGTTGTGCATTTATTTCTGCCCTGCACTGTGTTAAGAAGGACACCTGCTGTTCATCTTTCTGCTGTTTGTGAAACTTTCTGGAATTCAGAAAGACCATAGGAACTCATAGCACAAAGCAGGCAAGCAGATGGTAAGGGATTGGGAGACAGGACATGAAGGGACTCAGAATGCCTCATTGCCGCAGACCAGAGCTGTGTGAGGCCTTCTGGACTGTCTTCTCCATCCCGTCTACGACTGTGTTGACCACTCCTGTGCTGTCCTGTGCCTTCCTCTGTGACCGTGTTGGTGGCAGTGCCGTTAAGAGTTCCTACACTGGTGTTAGAGACCTAGGTTCAAATCCAGTGTTACCATTTCTATGATCTTGGATTAGTCTCTTCATCTGTCTAGGCCTTGTGTGTAAATTAATTCATAGCACCAACTCACAGAGTTGTTGAGAGAACTAACTGAAAAAACTCTAGAACATTTTAATCACTGTTCCTAGCCAAAAAGCTTCTAGTAAATTCAGTAAGTGTACTGAGGTTTATATTTCATTTCAGAAATACAGTTGTTTACATAAGAAAAGATTGTTTTTCTCCTGCTAAAACTTTGGCTTTCTTTTGCCTACCAAATAAAGTACCAACCCCTCAGCTTGTCACTCAGCCTTCAGGTTTGCATTTCAGCCTTCGAATTTCATTGGTAGGGGAAGCTTGAAAATGTAGATTTATTTTTTTTTTTTTGAGACAGAGTTTCACTCTTGTTGCCCAGGCTGGAGTACAATGGCGCAATCTTGGCTCACTGCAACCTCTGCCTCCCAGGTTCAAGCGATCCTCTTGCCTCAGCTTACCTAGTAGCCCAGGATTACAGGCACCTGCCACCACATCCAGCTAATTTTTTGTATTTTTAGTAGAGATGGGGTTTCACTATGTTAGTCAGACTGATCTTGAATTCCTGACCTCAGGTGATCTACCTGCCTCAGCCTCCCAAAGTGCTGGAATTACAGGCATGAGCCACCACACCCAGCCCAAAAATGTAGATTTCTAAAAGAAATTGTGCATTGGTACAAATGAGTTTGTCTATATTCAATGAGCAGTTACTCTATGTAAGGCTCTGGGCTAGGCCCGAGGGGTCTAGGCTGAATCAGACCTGACACACACTAGGCAATGGCATCATCATTTCTGGTACCACCACCCCATACCCACCCTGCCCAGGCCCTGCACAAGGCAGCCCGGAGGGTAGGCTTGCCACAGGGCCCCAGCATAGTAGAGCAGCTGGCCACCAGAGTATTGGCAGCAGGCCCAAGGGTGGAGGCGGAGGAGGTGGGGACTCAGAACTGGCAGCCAGCCAGGGCTCTCTCAGGTGCCCCAGCATGCAGGGCCTCCAGCCCCAGCAGTCCCGGAACCCATTCACTGACTATATCCTGTTCTTTGGTTGTGATCTTCTCTAGACTGCCTAGTGCAGAGATTTTGGTGGCAGGGCAGTGACTCCAGCCCCACGTCAAATGCATAAGGACGTTGAAACCCAAAGATGTGAGGTGGCATGATTGTGGTCACACAGCAACAAAGCCAGGATTAGAACACAAGCCTTCTGAAGAATATGCAGCAGTCTCAGCCTTGTAGATTCCTGAGATTGCCTTGTCTGCAGTGAGACTGTCAGGGTCATTTTGTTCCGTAAGAAAGTTACAAGAATCTTCTCTGTGCCCATCTGGGCAAGGCACTTGAGGGGCTAGGCAGGGTTAAATCTGACTCTGACCTTAGGAGTTTACGGTGTGTCAAGGGAGACATACTACCAAAAATTACAGAATAGCAAGTGCTGGGGGTAAGTATATGATATGAGGGGCAAGGGGGAACAACTGTACAAACACAGAGAAGGCACTTAGCTGAATCTGAGCATCAGGGAATCACTCCCAGTGAAGCTGATATCTAAGCTGAGTCATCAAGGACCAACAGTTTTTAGCCAGGTGAAGAAGGATAAGGAATAATATTCCAGGCAGAGACCAGGAAAGCATCCTCAGCTTTTTAGTTGGTTACATCAGTAGCCCCAATGACACACAATTATTTAGTCTGTATTCAGTCACTGTTCAGGACAGTTCCCACTATTCAGTAATGGTTCTCACTGGGTGGATCATAGCATGAGTGGAGAGAATAAAAGCAGATGAGGCTGGCCATGTAGGAACATATAAGGAAGGTGAAAAGGCCAGGGCCTCTGACTATCAAAGCCTGAGTAGCTCTATTCTGTGAACTCCAAGCACCACTGCCCCAGGTATTGGAGCCTTGATGGAGCTCCTCACTTACTTGGTATCAGGCTTCCTGCAAAGAATATGAGCATGAGCTGGACGCAGTGGCTCAATGCCTGTAATCTCAACACTTTGGGAGGCCAAGGTGAGAGGATCGCTTGAACTCAGGAGTTCAAGACCTGCCTGGGCAACATAATGAAACCCTGTCTCTTAAAAAAAAAAAAAAAAAATATATATATATATATATATATATATACACACAAAACCAGTTAAGTTCCTTTTACAGATTCCATCTGGGGGCCTGGCTTATTTATCTATCTATTCCTTTAGGGTTTAGGTATTTGTTTTGTTTTTACCTTTAAAGCCTTAATGTGGAAAAGTGCCTGAAGTGTTTATTGTAGAGAATGAAGCTTCATTCAAGGTTTAAACACCTACAGCTCCCCATGAATTAATAACCCACTCAGTGCTCAGTGCCTGGCAAGCTGTAACTTTCCTTCTCTTCCCATAGGCCTGCTGAATTAGCCACTAAGTACGCAAACTTTTCAGAGGGAGCTTGCAAGCCCGGCTATGCTTCAGCCTTGATGACGGCCATCTTCCCCCGGTAAGTGCTCCTGTTTCCTTCTGCTGACTAGACAGCCCGGTGTGAGGCCCAAGAGCCAGAAACCCTGCTTCCCACAGCCAGTCATATTCTCCTATGCTCTGGAGTCTGTGGGTTCCTGGAAAGGATTCTACCTTCAACTGGTTCCTACTCCAGGTCCTTGCTTTGCCGTACTCCCATCATGCCTCTGGAGCTTGCACTTGGTCACACAGCCTGTATCTGCAGAATGATAACCTACATGCTTGCCCCATGCAAGCCAGGTATCCAGAGGCGGCCAGACAAGGCTGACAAGCACAGAAGCTCCTAGACCTAGTATCAGTGGCCAAACAAACTTTTTTGGAAGCTGGGACCAACTAGCTGGCTTCAGGGAGGCATATCCAAATAAAGCAGGGAACAAAGAGAAATTTGCGAGGCTGTCTTGAGTTTGAGCACTTTCCTTCTCTGTCCATTTTGCATTCTGGAGCTGCTGGCTTCTCTGACATCTGAAAGAATCCACGCATAACCCAGGGAGTTCCTTTTACCAAATGCTACTAAGGGATTTTGCTTACCGATCCACCTTCGCCTTTTTTTTGGTTTTCTTTTCTGAAGCCTTGGTGTGGAAAAGGAGCTGAAGTGCTCAGATTGTCTTTGGAGTGCAGTGAAACTGTCAGGGTCATTTTGTTTCTTCTCATTTGGAGGGGCTGGAGGAAAGGCTGCCCAGAACTGTCTGGGCACTTGGACCACAACAGCAGTGCTAGGGGTGGGCTCTGCTCTCTGGCGGAAGGACTTGCCTTCCCATCCCTTAGAAGGCTGAGGTTGGTTAGGACACATAATGTGCTTGCAAAGGAATGCTGAGGAACAGCTGGCTCCAAAGTAAATCCAGGGTATTTGGTTTTTATGCTCCCTTTCTTTTCTAACGTTCGCAATCTCAGCTTAGCTCCTTGTGTAAAGCAACGGCTGTTCGGGGTGCGTGTCCAGTGCTGAGATAGAGATCTGTTTGTCCAGGGTCTGCCTTCTGAATTCTGAATTGATTCCAAATATTTTGCTTCCTCCAGCTATTTATTGAGTGCCTCTGTGTCTGGCTTTGTGTTCTGTGTTTTTGTAAGCCTGTGCAACTCAGTCCCTTGGCCCAGGCACCTGTGAATTTTCCTTGACCAGTATATAGGTTTCTTTTACTTTTTCTAATTGAAAGTAATACAGGCATGCGGTTAAAAAAAAAAAACAATGAAACACCTCAAACAGTACATAGGGTATATACTGCCACTTCAGACCCCTTCCCCAGAGACAGCTGACATTTCCATAAATGGGAATGTACTGTATTTACTCTTCTGTACTGTGTGTTAGGCGGTTCTTGCATTTCTATGAAAAAATATTGGAGACTGGTAAATTATAAAGAAAAGAGGTTTAATTGGCTTATGATTCATCAGGCTGTACAGGAAGTATGGTGCTGGAATCTGCCTCACTTCCAGGGAGGCCTCAGGAAACTTCAAATCATGGCAGAAGGCAACGGGGAACAGGCATGTTACATGGCAAAAGCAGGAGCAAGTGAGTGAAAGAAAGAGAGGAAGTGCTACATACTTTTAAACAGCCAGATCTCACAAGAATTTACTCACTGTCACAAGAATAGCACCAAGAGGATGGTACTAAACCATTCATGAGAAACCGCTCCCATGATCTGGTCACCCACCTCCAGGCCCCACCTCCGTCATTGGAGATTACAGCCACCCATCCTCCCTCCCTCCCTCCCTCCCTCCCTCCCTCCCTCCCTTTCTTCCTTCCCTTCCTCCCTCCCTCCTTCCCTCCTTCCTTCCCTCCTTCCTTCCTTCCCTCCCTCCCTCCCTTTTTTTGAGACAGAGTCTTGGTCTGTTGCCCAGGCTGGAGTGCAGTGGTGCAATCTCGGCTTGCTGTAGCCTTTACCTCTGGGCTCAAGCAATTAGCCCACCTCAGCCTGCCAAGTAGTTGGGACTCCAGGTGCATACAGCCACACACGGCTAATTTTTATATTTCTGGTAGAGGTGGGGTTTTGCTATGTTGCCCAGGCTGGTCTCAAACTCCTGGGTTCAAGCAATCTGCCCGCCTTGGCTTCCCAGAGTGCTGGGATTACAGATTTGAGCCACTGAGCCTGGCTGGGGATTACATTTCAACTTCAGATTTGGGCAGGGACAAATATTCAAGCTATGTCATTCTGTCCCTGACTCACACGAATCTCATGTCCTTCTCACCTTTCAGCATACAGGCATCCCTTCTCAGTAGTCCCTCCAGAGTCTTAACTCATTCCAGCATTAACTGAAGTCTAAATTTGAGTTATATAAAAAAAAAGTGAGTTATAATAAAAACTAAAATTGACTTTTAAATGACAAATATAAATTCTTATCTGGAAATGAGTTCCTTTCACCTATGAGACTGTAAAATCAAAACAAGTTACTTACTTCTGAGATAAAATGGGAGTATAGGCATTGGGTAAACATTCCCATTCCAAAAAAGGGGTAATCAGCCAGAAGAAAGAGGCTGTAGGCCCCATGCAACTTTGAAAACCAGCAGGGCAGTCATTAAATCTTAAAGCTCCAAAATGATCTTCTTTGACTCTGTGTCCCACATTCAGGGCACACTGGGACAAGAAGTGGGCTCCCAAGACCTTGGGCAGCTCCATCCCTCTGGCTTTGCAGGGTATAGCCCATGCAGTTGCTCTCATGGGCTGGCATTGAGTGCCTGAGGCTTTTTCAGGTGCAGGGTGTAAAATGCTGGCAGATCTACTGTTCTGGGGACTAGAGGATGGTGGCCCCCTTCTCACAGCTCCACAAGGGAGTGTCCTAGTGGGGACTCTGTGGGGGCACCACTCCTGCAGCAGGGTTTTGCTTGAGCAGCCAGGCTTTTCCATACATTCTCTGAAATCTAGGTGAAAGCTGCCAAGAATCCACCATTCTTGCACTCTGTACACTCTTAACACTACATGGAAGCTGTCAAAGCTTACAGCTTGCATTCTCCAAAGTGGCAGCCCAAGCTGTACCTTGTCCTTTTTGAGACATCGCAGGAGCTGGAGTGGCCAGGATGTGGGGAGCAGTATCCTGAGGTTCCATAGGAGTGGGGCCCTGGGCCTGACCCAAGAAACCATCTTTGTCTCCTGGTCCTCAGGAATTGTGATGGAAGGGCTACCTCATAAATCTCTAGAATGCCTTTGAGGCCTTTTCCCCATTGTCTTAGATATTAGCACTTGGGTCTTTTTTAGTTACACAAATGTCTCTAGCAAGTGGTTGCTCCACTGCCTGCTTGAATTCCTCTTCTTAAAAAGCTTTTTCTGGCCTGGCATGGTGGCTCACGCCTATAATCCCAGCACTTTGGGAGGCCGAGGCGGGTGGATCACGAGGTCAAGAGATCGAGACCATCCTGGTCAACAAGGTGAAACCCCGTCTGTACTAAAAATACAAAAATTAGCTGGGCATGGTGGTGCGCGCCTGTAGTCCCAGCTACTCGGGAGGCTGAGGCAGGAAAATTGCTTGAACCCAGAAGGCGGAGGTAGCAGTGAGCCGAGATCATGCCATTGCACTCCAGTCTGGGTAACAAGAGTGAAACTCCGTCTCAAAAAAAAAAAAAGAGAAAAAAAAGCTTTTTCTTTTTTGGTCACGTGGCTAGGCTACAAATTTTCCCAATTTTTATGCTCTGCTTCCCTTTTAAATATAAATTCCAACTTTAAGTCATTTACTTGCATCCATATCTGAGTGTAAGCTGTTAAGAGCAGACAATCTTGAATGCTTTGCTGCTTAGAAATTTCTTCTGCCAGATACACAATCATCACTCTCAAGTTCAGACTTACACAGATCCCTTGAGAAAGGGCACAATCCAACCAAACTCTTTGCTAAGGCATAATATGTTATGACCTTTGCTCCGTTTCCCAATGAGTTCCTCATTTCAATCTGAGACCTTGTTGGCCTAGAGTTCATTGTTCAAAGCTCTGTCAATATTTTGATCACAACCATTTAACCAGTCTCTAAGCAGTTCCAAATTTGCACTCATCTTCCTGTCTTCTTGTGAGCCCTCCAAACTCTTCCAGCCTCAATGCATTACCCGGCTCCGAAGTCACTTTCACATTTTCAGGTATCTTTCTAACAATACTCTACTCCTGGTACCAATTTTATGTATTAGGCCATTCTTGTATTGCTACAAAGAAATATCTGAGACTGGGTAAATTATAAAGAAAAGAGGTTTCGTTGGCTCACAGTTCTGCAGGCTTTACAGGAAGTATGGCGCTGACATCTGCTTACCTTCTCGGGAGGCATCAGAAAGCTTAAAATCATGGCAGAAAGCAAATGGAGAGCAGGCATGTCACGTGGCACTTGTTAGAGAAAGTGAGAGAGGGAAGGTGCCACACACTTTTAAATAACCAGATACTGTTAAAATTCACTCACTATCACAAGGACAGCACCAAGGAAATGGTGCTGAATCATTCGTGAGAAATCCACCCCCATGATCCAATTCCACTAGGTCCCACCTCCAACATTGGGGATTACATTTCTACATGAGATTTGAGTGACAACAGATATCCAAAGTATATCATGTACCTTGCTTTTTACTTCTAGGAATGTAGGTTAGATATTATCCTATTACCAGCATACTTGGATTCACTTCATTTTAAAAATGAATGAATAATATACAATTGTATGGCTTGTATCATAATTTTACTAAAATTAAGGTTTATTGGCCTGGTGCAGTGGCTCACGCCTGTAATCCCAGCACTTTGGGAGGCTGAAATAGGCAGGTCACTTGAGGTCAGGAGTTTGAGACCAGCCTGGTCAACATGGCAAAACTCCATCTCTACCAAAAATATAAAAATTAGCCAGGTGTGGTGACACACACCTGTAATCCCTGCAACTGGGAAGGCTGACGCAGGAGAATTGCTTGAATCAGGAGGCAGAGGTTGCAGTGAGCCGAGATCACATCACTGTACTCTAGCCCGGGCAACAGAGCGAGACTCTGTCACAATTAAAATAAAATAATTTTTTAAATTAAAGTTTATTGAAGTTTAATTTACATACAATGAAATTTCCCTTTTAGTGTAGTTCTGTGAATTTTGAGGAATACATACTTTGTATAGCCACTATTACAGTCAGTAGTGCATTTCTATCCTAAAATATCCCTTTTTGCTCCTTTGTAGTTAACATCTCCCCTTACCCCCAGCCCCTGGAAACCACTGTAGTGTTTCTAGAATGTCATATAAATGGAATCATATGACATGAAGCTTTCTGAGTCTACAACTTTAATTCAGTATATGCATTTATGATTCATACATGTGCCATGTGCATCAATTGTTCTTTTTATTGCTGATTAGTATTTCATTGTATGGCTGTAACACAGTCTGATTACTCAAAGGTCAAAAGATATATATATATAGAGAGAGAGAAAGAGAGATAGATACTAAAAACTGGAATTAACCCATATATATAATATAACATATTGTAAATAATATATATTATTAAATTATATTATAATATATAATTATATTATTAAATATATTCGATATATTATATTATTTAATATATTATATATAATATAATTATATAATATATAATAATAATATATGATAATATATATATGGGTTAATTCCAGTATTTAGTAACTATCTATCTATCTATCTATCTATCTATGGGTTAATTCCAGTTTTTATTAGCTATCAATACAGCTACTATAAACATGAGTACAGAGTACAGGTTTTTGTGTGAATGTATGTATTCATTTTTCTTGAGTAAATACCTAGGAGTGGAATGGCTGGGTCCCATAGTAACTGTTTTCCAATGTGATCTTACAAACTGTTTGCTTTTCCACCAGTGTGAAAGAGAGTTCCAGTTGCTCTATATCCTTGTATCAGTCTTTTTGATTTTAGCCATTCTAATAGATGTACGGTGATATCTCAATATCTAAAATTATGGTTTTAATTTGCAATTTAGTAATGACTGGCAATGATAAATATATTTTCATATGTTTGTTTGCCTTTTTTTTTGAGACGGAGTTTCGCTCTTGTTACCCAGGCTGGAGTGCAATGGCGCGATCTCGGCTCACCGCAACCTCCGCCTCCTGGGTTCAGGCAATTCTCCTGCCTCGGCCTCCTGAGTAGCTGGGATTACAGGCACGCACTACCATGCCCAGCTATTTTTTGTATTTTTAGTAGAGACGGGGTTTCACCATGTTGACCAGGATGGTCTCGATCTCTTGACCTCATGATCCGCCTGCCTCAGCCTCCCAAAGTGCTGGGATTACAGGCTTGAGCCACCGCGCCTGGCTGTTTGCCATTTTTTAAATCTTTACAGAACTCTCCCAATCTGTTGCCATTTTTTAATTGTTTGTTTATCTTATTGAATTGTAAGAGTTCTTTAAACTTCTGGACAGAAGCCCTTTGTCAGATACTTTGTGTGATTTGCAGATATTTTATTATCTTTCTTAGCATTCTCTACATTGTCTTTCATAGAGCAGAAATTTCTAATCTTGGTAAAGTCTAATTTTCTACATTTTCTTTTATGGACTGTGGTTTTAGTGTTGCATCTGAGAAATTTTTCCCCAGTTCAAAGTCAAAAAGTTTTCTCTTGTTTTGTTTTAGAATTTTGAGTTAATTTTTGTGTATGTAAAAGGTAAGAGTTGAGGTTCACTTTTTGCACGTGGATGTTCAGTTGTTCCAGAACCATTTGTTAATGACTCTGCTTTCTACATTGAATTACCTTGTCATGTTTGTTGAAAATCAGTTGAACATATATGTTAGGTCTCTTTCCGGACTCCCTAGTCTATTATGTTGATTTATGACTTTGTGCCAGTACCATTTATACATGGGCAGTCATGTCATCGGTTACTAAAGACAGTCTTATTTCTTATTCTTTAATCTGTATGTCTTGTTGCTTTTTCTTACCTTACTGCAGTGGCTAGACTCTTCAGAACAGTATTAAATAGGTGAGGTGAGAGTGAACAGCCTTGTCTGCTCCCAGTCTTAAGAGGAAAACTTCTAGTCTTTCACCATTATGGTGTTAGGTTTTTCATAGATAGCCTTTTTTAGGTAGAGGAAGTTCTCTTTTGTTCCTAGTTTCTTGAGAGCGTTTATGATGAATAGATGTTGATTTTTGTCAAATGCTTTTTCTGTATATATTGAGAATATCATATGGCTTTTCTTTTTTAGTCTGTTAATATGATGAACTACATTGATTAATTTTTTTCTCCTTATTGATTTTTGAATATTGAACCAGTCTTTGATTTGTAGGATAAATTTCATTTGGTCTTAGTGTATTGTTCTTTTTACGCATTGCTGTATTCAATTTGTTAAACATTTTTAAAGGATTTTTGTGTCTTTGATCGTGAGATACTGGTCTATAGTTTTCTTGTGATGTGTTTAGTTTTGGTAATATAGTAATGCTGGCTTCAGAATAAGCAGGAAAATATTTCTCCATCTTTCTACAAATTTTGTGTATAATTAGTAATATTTTTCATGGAATGTTTGATAGAATTCAACAGCAAAATCTAGGCCTGTCTGAAGAGAAGGCAGTTTTTATCTCTATTCTCATGCATCAGTGAACACACTTCTGACATCAGATGTGTGGCAGTTTTTCCCACACATCAAGCAAATTCTTCAGCAGACACTAACCTGGGTGTCCCATAATTCAATTCAATTCTGACATTATCCGCCTGGAGATGGCGTCAGATCCCACAGGTTGAAGGCGCAACAAAACTATACCTCACTTCAGATGCTAATCACAAATAGTAGTGATGTGAGTTCTACACATCTCACGAACTATACATCTCACCAACTAGCTATAAATTGTGAATTCCAAGACTACCCCCTCTTGGGTTTGATTTATTTGCTAGAGCAGCTCACAGAATTAAGGGAAACTTTACTTGTGTTTACCCATTTATTATAAAGGATAGCTATCACAAAGGATACAGATGAACAACCAGATGGAAGAGATGCACAGGGCATGGCATGTGGTAAGGGGTTCACCAGTCTCTGGGACCTCTATGTGTTCAGTATTGTGAAAGCTCTTTGAACCTTGTCCTTTTGGGTTTTTGTGGAGGCTTCGGTAAATCCTGTGGAGGATTACATAAGCATGATTCAT